ACTGATTCAGGCAAAGGCCATCAATGGATGTTGAGTAAAAGATTATTGGGGACACAAAATCCCAACAGTCTCAAAGAATAACTCTACAGAGTGAAAAGTTTACCCTTACAAAGGAGAGATCATGCTGTCACCACTTTAACCAAAGACCAAACTTAGCATTCACAGATGGTACCCAACTACTCATTGTCATCAAGTCAATTCCAACTCACAGTGAGGGCAGAGTAGAACTACTCCTTAGGGTTTCCAAGGCCATAAATTTTTACAGAAGCAAACAGCTCCATCTTTCTCCCACTGAAAGGCTAGTTTCTCCCACTGAAAGGCTAGTAGGTGGAACCACTGACTTTTTGGTTATCAGCCAACAACTTAACTACTGTGCCACCAGTGCTCCTTATCATGGATAATAGGACCCTGATATCACATGCCTCCTGATATGATATAGTTAAGAATACAAAAGCCAAAATATGTGTAACATGAATCTACTAATTCAGGAAACCATCAAACAAATTTAAAAAAGGTAGAGTCCCCGTGGTTCAACTTTCAGCCAAACAACAGAAAAGCCTATAAGGTGAACAGTAACATTAGGGAAGTAAACACTCATTAAAACAATCAACCATATGAGATCAAAAGAGCAGCATCTGCCTAGTGATAAAGCTCAGAAGGCAGGAAGGAATAGGAAAGAAGGATGAACAGAAACAGTAAACACAGGGAGGAAGTGGGAAGAATGCTGTTAAGTTGTGGGAATTGTAATCAATGCCACAAAGCAAAATGTGTCTGAATTGTTGAATGGAAACCATTTGGTCTGTAAACTTTCACCCAAATCACAGTAAAAAGTTTTTTTTTTTTTTTTTTTTCAAAAGGTGGTAGGGCTTTATCCAAGTTAAATTAGTTTTGTAAAGAGATATAACCGAATATATGAACCTTGGCTAGATTTCACATTTTAAAAAGATTAAAAAGCTATAGATCTTTTCTGGCAACTTAAGAAATTTGAGTATCAGCTGTTTATTAGGCAATACTGACTTACTGCAAATTTTCTTAGGCGTGATAGCAGTATTATGGCTATGCAAAAAAAAAAAAAAAAAAACCTCACTGCCATCAAGCCGAATCTGACTCTTAGCAACCTCTCCTTGGATTTCCAAGGTGGTATCACTACAGAAATAGATTGCCCAGTCTTCCTTCAGAGAAGTGGCCAGTGGGTTAGCGGTCAAATGCCTTAGGCACTATACCACCAGAGTTCCCTTATGGTTATGCAGGGTAACAATATTATTAAAAGATGCATGCTAAAGAATTTAGGGTTCAAGTGCCATTTTTATTGTAAAAATGTATGCAACAGAATATTTGCCAATTCAATATTTTTCAGATGCACAATTCAGTGATTTCAATTTTATTAATCATGTCATACAACTATTATCCATATTTGTTGCCACATTTACCATCACCACACAGAGAAGCTCACTGCTTCCTAAACAATGACTCCCCCTGTAATTTACTTTTAAATAGTTTGTCAAAAAAAAAAGTATATATATGGGTGTGTGTGTGTACAAAAGCAAAAATGTGAATTGGTGCATCTAAAGTGAAGGGCTATTCTTTCACCATTTCTACAAGTTTGAAAAATTTCAAAATATTTTAATTTTAAAACAGGTACAAAAAGAACCATTACCTTATAAGACCACTCAATAGAAATGCTGGATGTAAAATTTCATCTTGATCCTAAGTGACCACTCAACAGAAATGCTGGATTTCTTATTACTATTACTAAAAAGCATTGCCATTTCATAATATTTCTTTGCAGGTGCCTCTAGGTTCTAGAAGGCTGGGAAGCAAACCAGGACTAAACTAAAATGATCTAAAGTTGATGGTGGAGTTAGAATTTAAACCTGCGTGGTCTCCCCAGCCAAACCCACCAACCAGAGCAAGTCCACACCGTTAGTCCTACCAGTCCTCTGTGCTGAGATTCAGACTCCGAGAACATGGCTGCTCATGACCTATTTTTCCTGCCTCCTCCTGAACCCACAGTCTCCACTAGTACAAGAAGAAAGAAAATCATAGCTCTCTGAGCATGTTCACAAAGAGGGGCCATTTCTGGGCCACAGTAATGTTGAAGATTGGCAGAATGAACCAGTGGTCCTTTGTGGGGTAGGAGAAAGTCCAATGGGCTTTGGCATCACCTAGGCCTGGGTTTGAATCAGGCTTTGCCACTTATTAGCTGTGGGGCCCTGGGCAGATTACTGGGTAGAGCCAAGTCTGGGAAGATGAAGACAATGGTAACAATAATGGCTAACATTTTTTGAGCAATTACTACTGTGTAGGAGCTTCATACGTTACTCTTAATCTCATGCATGCCTTGTGAAGTAGATATTATTATCCCCACCTAACAGACCAACCATAGCCCCTCTTCTTCCCCTGCAATTTGGTCTGTCATCCCCTCTGCCTGTAAAGTTCAGAAAAATCTCACTCATCTGCCAGGTCTTCCTCAGGCAGAACTTACTCCCTCTTCCTCTGCATCTCCAGAGCATTTTATTCTCACTCCTTACCATGGCCCATTGCCCCCGACTACCTTCACCACCTACTTTAAATAGTTGGGTGCCTGTTCTCCCTGGCGGATCTCCCCTTTCTCTATCTCCAGATTCAGGCAGAGCAGGAGAAGGGGAAGAAATTTCCTGCTGTTTGGTCAGATCCACTTTTCCCACCCCAGAATGACCATCATGTACCAATGTTGTTGTTGTTGTGTGCCGTCGAGTCAGCCCTGACTCATAGCGACCCCTCCTTGGGTTTCCGAGGCAGTATCACTACGGAAGTAGGATTGCCCAACCTTCCTTCCGAGGAGTGGCTGGTGGGTTTGAACCGCCAGCCTTCTGGTTAGCAGTCAAGTGCCTTAGCCACTATGCTACCAGAGCTCCCTCATGTACCAATAGGGAGGTTTATTGCTTTCTCCTGAAATTTTAACTTTTTATTTTGAAATGAAAACCTCTCCTGAATCTTTAATTTGGAATCTAAGCCTCTCTGGAAGGCCCAAATGATCAACTGGAAATAAGCACAGGGAGAGTTCCCATTGTGTAGGGGATGGACACATAGAGCCCTGTTGGCGCAGTGCTTAAGCGCTCGGCTGTTAACTGAAAGGTTAGTCGTTTAAACCCACCAGCAGTTCCAACCCACCACCTTAGAAACCCTATGGAGTAGTTCTACCCTTTCCTATATGGTCATTATTAGTTGGAATTGACTTGAGGGCAACAAGGTTTTTTTTTTAGGTGATGGGCTGAGCATGGTTGGGTAAATTTCAAGAATGGCAATGTTCAGAGTGAGTAATGTGTCTTCCAGCAAGCAGGAGGTACCTTCCCCACCTTACTCAATCAGTCCACCAGCATGCATAAGGTCTCTTTGACCCTGTGGACTATGTGGGAATACTACCTTTCACTTCCTCTTCCTGATCTCCCCAGGCTCAGCAACTGTATTTCTAGCCCCATCTTATCCAGTGCATATCTCTAAGAAGCCCACAAGCTGCTCCATTTCTCCTACCACCCAAATGGCAGGAAGAAAAGCTGCCCTCTAGGCTCAGAGAACGCATAGACTCCAGAAGGAGCTGCCCAGGAAGGCATGGAAAGGGGAAAAGCAGGCTGAAGGAGGGAACCTACCTGACCTGGCACAAATTCCCCACTTACTCAGCAAAGTATCCTCTCACCTGATGCAAACTCCCAGCAACCACCACCATCTCCCATCCTCTCCCAGAATTTTCTTTTACTCTCCTAGCTCACTATCATATCTCATCTTGTGGGCTTCCTTAGGCTCAAGCATCCCATTTCAATCACTCACTTCCTTTTGGTCTTCCTGCATCTCACAATGGAACCCTGGTGGCACAGTGGTTAAAAGTGTTTGGCTGCTAACCAAAAGGTTGACAGTTTGAACCCACCAGCAGCTTGGAGAGAGAAAGATGTAGCAGTGTGCTTCCATAAACAGTACAGCCTTGAAAACCCTATGGGGAAATCTAGTCTGTCCTGCAGGGTTGCTTTGAGTAGGAACTGACTAGATAGCAGTGGGTTTGGTTTTTACCGGTTTTACACAATTGTACTTTATAAACAAAGGCCTTTCAAATCCATCTCATTTCATTCACACAATAACCCTGGGAGGGTTACCTTACATGTCAACATTCAGAAGGCCTGAGGGAGCTGATTCCATTCTACAACTTGCGAAGGGTCCGACCTTGTTTGCAAACTGAGTTTAGGACATCAAACTCTTATTTCATCCTTGCCACCCTCTCCAGACCAAGGCGCTACAGGGGAAAAAAAGCAGTCTTTGAGCAAGGAGTCTTGGTGGTTTGGGGCAAGTCACTTCACTTCTCAATGCCTCATGTTCCTCACTTGTAAACAAACATGGTGACGCCTTTACTTTAAGGGTTGTGAGGGTTGAATGAGATCCTGTGTGTGATGCACTGAGCTCAAGGGAAGAGTTCTTTATTTCTAGTCACAAGAAAGAAAGGTGTTCTGTGCCATCTCACACACTTGGGCACTAGGTTCTCCAGAACGGGGAGGGGTCTTTTTCATCTTTGTGTCCCTGTCCCTCCTCCCCTCACGCTCTTCGCTCATCCCATTCAATCGAACCCAGGCTCACCTCATCGGCTTTCTCGGCACCCACTCCCCAGTCCTGGAGTCCTCTTTTCTGACAGGTGGCCCCCTTCTCACTTTGAGACTCTGCCCCTCCTTGCCCCACCCACCAAAGACTCTTCCCACAGTCTGGGCCCTAAGGATCCGGGCTTTTCCTAACAACACTACCCATCCAAACACCTCCCACCAGGCCCGTCCCCTCTTTCTAACCCCGCCCTCTCTTTCTCCCCGCTATCCGACCTGCGTCCCATCCCCCGCAGCCATAGATGTTGCCATTCCCATTTCACAGATGAGAACGGCAAGGCTGAAGTAGATAACCTTTTATGGTGCGACAGGTGCCCAGGTGGGCCGCGCTCCCTCACCTCCCAAGATTGCGTCCCGCGCCCCCCGCCGTGCCGCACCCACCTCCGGCCCTCGCTCTGCAGCCTCCCCTCCGCGGGCGGCCAGCGCAGCTTTGCTAGAGGGGCGGAGGGTGGGAGCCTTGCCTAGGGGTGTGGCGGCCCGGGATGCTCGCCTTGCGCTCTGGGCCATGTAGTTCTCGCTCTGGCCCCTTTGCGGTTCAGTGGGAAGAGTGAGAACTCCATTTCCCAGGAGGCATTGAGGCGAGTAGCTGCCCTCTCTGCCCCGCCCCGTCAGTTCTCAGGCCGGCTAGCCTTAAAGGGGACGCGGGCCGAGTGGTGGCTCGCGGGGTGGCCTCCGCTCCGGCTCCGCCCAGTTTCCCGCACCTCGCCCCTCCCCCCACGGCGTCCCGCAGTCTCGCCGCGCCGCAGAGTCGGGTTCTCTGGGTACAGGATTGTGCGGAACAGGGTGGAGAGATTAGTCTTTGCAGTAGAAGCAGCATCCCTGCCGTCTGGGACCTGGCGGAGGGCGTCCCCATCCCGGGTGGGAGCAGAGGATCCGCCCTGACCTAGCCCGGCCCTGCCTAGCACTGTCCAGCCTCAGCGCCCTGCCCAGAAGTCGGATCTCAGGCAGGGGCCGTTGGGGTCAGGGAGGTAAGATGGCAGGGGGCGTGTGTGCCGGGTCGGGGAAGGTGGCTGTACCTTGGTTGTTTGAGAGACCCGGACACGCGCATAGGGCTCGGAGAGCCCGAGGCTGGGAGGCGGGAGGTCTGGGTGCATACTAGGCCTCGCTGTGTGACCTTGGGCGAGTAGATGCCCCTCTCTGGACCTCAGCCTTTTGTATCATCAAATGTGTATCGAGATCCTCTCCCAGTACCGTCAAGCTTACCGGCCTTTCGTAGGGTCCGCAGCTCCATCCTGGGTGCGGCGCACTGGTATACCTAGAGGGAAGGACTGAGCTGGGGTTCAAACGGAAGGGCCCAGAGGCAGACACAGCTTGGAATGGGCTTCTGCCATTCTCAGCACCCCCAGCCCCCAAGGGTACTTTCCCCACAATGGACCTTGCAAACAGGAGACCCTGACGTGTCAGCCAGGTGCCTACCCTTCAAGAAAAATTGGGGTGGGGATAGAGGGTGCTGTCAAGAGTAGTATGTGATGGGTGACTCCCAGCTGGGAGGGGTGAGGGTGGTGGGTTCTGGAGCAGGGAAAAGATGCTCCCACCCTCTTCTTTGCTTTCATCCTATTCCCCTTCAGTAAATAGCATATGGTTTTTATCAGTAAAACCTTTTTCTTTCTAGGAGACAGTTTGGTGGCATTGGCAAGGACCTCCCAGTAGTAGGGTGAGGGGCTCCTTTCCAGGACTGCTTTGGGTAGAAGAAGTTACATTAAAAAAATGTAGAGAGATACTGCTGCCTCAGAGACCAGGGATAGAGGGTACTTTCCGTGTGCGAGGGGACAGCCTGGTACCCCCCAGGTAGCTCTAAGACCCTGGGAAGTCAAAGGAGGGAGACCTGTGTCAGTAGGGTGTAAGAGTCAGAGCGGAGAGGGAAGGAGCTTCCTAAGCCTTAGGTGCTGAGCAAGGGCTCAGAGGGCCTGCTCTGCCCTGGGATAAGGAGAGGTTGAGTGAGATCTTCTTCAAGTCCTATGAGATTCTGTGAACTTTTGACCTGAGGGTTAATCAGGAATAATTTTTTTTTTTTTTCTTTTTCTTCAGCTATGATTGTTTGAGTCTTTTTCTGAATGGCTGAAGCCTCACTCAGCCCAGTCCAGTGACCACTGCTGACCTGAGCAGAGGAAGGGGCAGTGACTGGACCGAGATGTAGGCCAGTCCCTAGAACATAGTTTTCTAGTTACATCCTTGGTTTTTCCTCATCTTGTCACACGTATATCATTCGTCACTTTGCCTGGAACAGTGCTGGGCACTGGATACAGAGAGGAAGATTGGACCTCCTTCCTCCCCGGGGAGATCCCAGTTAGGTAGGGAGACAGACATGGAATCTGTTTACACTGCAGAGGGATGAGAGAAGCTAAGAGAGTTGTGGGAGACTTGAATTATAGAGGGACAAGGAAAGACTTCCCAGAGGAGGGGACATTTGAACTGGGTATTGAAAGATGGTGGCACAGTGGTTAAGCGTTCACCTGCTAACTGAAACGTTCAAACCCACCAACCAGCTGCTCCACAGGAGGAAGATGTGGCAGTCTGCTTCTGTAAAAATTACAGCCTTGGAAACCCTTTAGGACAGTTCTACTCTGTCCTGTAGGATTGCTATAAGTTGGAATTGACTGGATGGAAATGGGTTTGGTTTGATTTCATCTTCTGAAAGATGAGTCAGAATTTAGCAGGAGAGAAACAGGAGAAACCTCTTCAAGAAGAAAGGGCATCATCACAAGGTTGTTGTTGTTGTTGTTATGTGCTGTCGAATAGTCTCCGACTCATAGCGACCCCTCCTTGGGTTTCCAAGGGGGTAAGAAAGGGCATCATCACAAGGTGGTTGTTGTTGTTGTTATGTGCTGTCGAATTGTCTCTGACTCATAGCGACCCCTCCTTGGGTTTCCAAGAGGGTATCACTACGGAAGCAGATTGCCCAATCTTCCTTTTGAGGAGTGGCTGGTAGGTTTGAACCTCCAACCTTTTGGTTAGCAGTCAAGTGCCTTAGGCACTAGGAAAAAGCCAATTGCCCAAATTCCCATTGATTCACTGCCAAACAGGGTTTATCAGGTTCATCTCCACCCTTGCCCCATCTCAGCTTAGGGTCGCAAAAAAGGGCTCAGGAATGTCAGGCTCAAGAGTCTGGACCTTATCCTGAAGCGACTGGGGAGTCTTGAGCATTCTGAATAGGGACATGGCAGGATGGAGTTCATTGTGTAATGAAGTTGATCTGACAGTGTTTGCAGGGTGGGTTAGAGAGACCAGGGAAGGCTGATGAAGCCTGAGCTGGGGCGGCGGGGGGGGATGGGAGTGGGGCAGAACATTGGAGTTGTATACACACACACACACACACACACACAAAGAGTGTACTTAGGGAGTGATGGAGATGAGTCAGACTCTACCATCTATGCATAGCAAAAATGCAGAGGGTTATCTGAGAGAGACAGGTATAGGAATCTAGTCTTTTTAGGGAAGAGATTGTGGTTTTCCTGCATGCTTTCTGGAGTAGGCCAGGTGTTGCTGGAATTTCCCAGAATGTGATGCCAGCAGAGGGAGGGGTATAAGCCAAAGCCTTGGAGAGGAGCAGCAGCCCCAGATGGGAAAGTGGTGGGCAGATAGTAATTTCATAGTCATCTTCGGGGGGCAGAGGTTCAGAGAGGTGGAGGAGCACCTACCTCCATGGCCATGGCTACTGTGAGGGACAGGCAGGACTAGATGCAAAGCCTGAATTCTCCTCTAGGATACATGCCCCTTTTGGAGAATGGATTGAGGGATGGAATGAAGAGATCAATTAGGAGACTGCCACACTGGTCTAGGCAAGAAGAGGAGCTGATTTTGAGTAAGGCTGGAGCTCAGGGGAGACACAGTGGAATTGGAAGTTGGCAGTGAGGGTGGATGGATGCAATTCCTTCTAGAATCATTTAGATCAGGAGTGTGTGTCTCCTTCCCTGACAGCTTCTCAGGGCCCAGATGGCCAAGAATAGACTCATGACTGCTCAGCTTTCATTTTGTTTGCATCTTCTCCTGATCCCATGAGTGGCAGGTCTAGAATAGTCCCCATTTTCCAGGTGAGAAGGCTGAGGAGCCAGGCAGGGACTTGCCTAATGTCAGGTGGTGATTCTGAAGCAGAGAATCCGAATCTTGCGCTTTTAATGTAGGCTCTTCTGAGGGAAGACGTGACTCTGTTTGCCACTGTGTTTGGTGTAGGGCATCTGTCTCTTGGATCACAGCCAGTGTGGATAAGCTATCTGTTCACCCAGGGCCTAAAAGGGTTATGGAAGCTCCCCTGAGGAATGCTGGTGGTCTGTTTCTTCCTTCCCAAGGGAGGCCAAGTGCAGGTTTTAATCCCCACCTTTCCAAGGACATATCTCTCTCCCTCTCGGAGCCTTGGCTTCTTCATTTATGCTGTAGGGACAGCAAACCTTGTCTTAGGCCCCTTTTCTGGCCTATGATGGGGTTAGGTGAGGTAGAAGCCTCTAAAACCCTTTTGCATGAATGCATCCAAGATATTATTGAGTAGGCTTGCTGGTGGCCATGGTGACAGCTGACCTCAGACTGCTTGCGTGGGAGTGGAAGAGATAGGCAGGGCTATGCCTGGTATGGCCAGGCCCACAGACTGAATAGAGGCTGCAGGGCTGGCCTTTGAGATCACAGCCCTCATGTAACACATCCACTGACTGAACTCCCAGCTGCCAGGCACAAACCACCTTATGTGGTAAGTATCAGGTAGCCTAATATGAACTTGTCAACATTTTACCATTCAATTTCATGCAGCTCTACTAATATCATTAATCCCCACCTTACAGAAGAGAAGAGAGACTTACAGATGTGATTTGTTCAAGGCCACACAGTAAATTGAGTCTAGATCCCAAGTTTGTTTTTCTTTCCACTTATAGCACCTTCTGTGGCTTCAGAACTGCATTTCTGCTGCCCTTGTGCCCTCTTCTCCTATGCATGATGCTCATTGCTTTGAGCTTCTCCTGGGCTCCCTGAGTACCAGCATTTCTTGGCACCCTGGGCTGAAAGCATATTAAATCCACTAGCCTAGGGGCGAGGGATTAGATTGTGTTAGTGGATGAGAGGTTGGTTTCATAGCAACCTTCTTGTCCCAGGCATTGCCTAGGAAAGAGAGGACCAGGGGCTGACGGGAGATCAGTTGTTAAAGACACTTGTAAAGGCTTTTGGAGATAATGCCTTGCATTGGCACTCTTTACAAACAGGTCTGCTTTCTAGAAACTCCTGAAGGGCAGAGGGAGTTTGCTTCTAAAGTGAAGGGAACTGACATTTTCTGAGAGCTTCTGTGTAATATCTGTCTTCACACCTCTGCTTGCACCAAGATGGAAGCAGAGGCTCAGAGAGCTTAAGTAACCTGGATGGTAATCGGAATGAATCTCAGATCACCTACACTCAAAGAGTGGAAAATAATCAAGCGTTTAACACGCTACACCTGCACCTCTAATTCAGGCGACTTAGAGTGGGCCCTGGGCATCTGAACTTTTAGCAAGTGTCCAGGTGATTCTGAGGCTGGTTCGGGAACCATGGATTTGTGCCATAACTATACCCTGTAACCACAAGAAACTCTTAAAAGGCACTCATTCTTGACAGTGGCTGGCATGGGAGACCCCAACTACTGATAAACATGTCCTAGTTCCTGCCCTGAGGAACTCACAGTCTGGCAAGAGAGATACTTAAACAAATGGTTCCACTGCACTGTAACACATAGAGTCATGGAGCTTTGGTCAGGGCCGAGAGTAGGACAGACAAGGGCTGGCACAAAGTTGAGAGTCCCAAAATATCTATGGTTCTGAATCAAAGTTTCTGGCCCCTCATTCCAGGAAATTTCTAGCTTGTCTTCACACTGGCTTCATGTCTCAAAAATAGAGTAGTTTTTACTGGATACATGAATTTAATTGAACACCTACTATGTCAAGTCTTCTATTAGATCCCGTCTAGAATGAGATTATATAGAGAAGCAGAGAAAGGGCCCTGCCTTCTAGGAGCTGAGAATTAGGTATTAAAAGAACAAGCTTTACTCATGTGAATCAGCATGAGAATCGGGAGTCCGAGTGGGTCAGCATGGGAAGATTTCCAGGAAACAGTGCAGATGGAGGGAAAGGAAAAAGAGAAGGCTATTATGGCTCCAGGGAGTAAGGTAGCAGTAACTCACACTGTATTCTTCATTTGCTCATTCATCAAATGCCTACTGTGTGTTAGGTGCTAGAGATACTGTGGTGAATAAAATCTGACATGGTTTCTGACCTCGGGAACCATATATAATATAGTGAAGGAGGCTAAGCCCAATCAAATCATGATGATTATCGAAGTGAGTTTGAGTTGAGTCCAAAGGGTTGACTGAGCAAGAAGGGGAAGGTAGAGCTTATACAAAGGCCCAGTGGAAGATGGATCATAGTTAGGTGAGAAAGAGTGAAGGGCTAGTTTGGGCTGAGGCTGGAGAAGCAGGCAAGGTCCTGAGTGCACAAGGATGTGGAACCAGGCCTGTTAGCATGGCTGCAGTGCAGAGAGGAGATGTTTCACTTCAGGGGAGGGAACTTGGACCCAAACAAGCCAGGCATTGCGTAAACCCAGCTGTAATGGAGGAAGAGGTCACAGATGGCTGTAGGAATCAAGGGTAGGGGATGGATTCATGCTTGGAGGACCAGGGGAGTTTTCATTGAGGCCAGGAGTTTGAGATGAACTTTGAAGGAAAATAAGAATATGCCTGGTTGTGTGAAAATGTGGTGGTGAGTAGAAGTCTTGGGAGATAGGATGTTTCAGGCAATGGGCACAGCCTGCACAAAGAACTGCAGGCTTGAAAAGATGTAGGTCATTTGGGAAGGGGTGTGGAGTGGAGCAGAACAAAGTGTGGGGAGATCTCCTATAATCCTGTTGACCCTCCTTTGGGGCACTGAGCCTTCTTTCCCTGGAGGTGCAATTTTTATTGTGTCCCCTATTTTCTCCCCCATAGAGCATGATTTGGCCAAGACTTTGGTCAGCAGCTTCTACATCCAGCTCTTATCTGTACCAGGAGTGGGTGAGGTCACTAGTGAGACCTGGAGGAAAAAGGACAGAGGGGTGGAGGTAGGGTGGATGTGTTGCCTCTGTGTCCATTAGATAAAGGAGCCCATCGCAGGGGTAGCTGCATATCACTGGGTCTTACCAAGTGCCAAGCATTGTGCTTTACTTAACCATAATACTTGCCCTTGTGGCTGGTATCACTGCGCCATTTCACAGACCAGGAAACTGAGGCCCAGAAAGGCTGAGTTGCTCGCCGAAAGTCCCAGCATGTAGGGGCCCACACGGGGAATTGGACCACGGCCCTTGAGCCCCACAAGTTGTGGGGCAGAGTGTGATCCCATTCCTTATCCCCACAGCACAGCCACCATGGACAAGATCTTGGAGGCGGTGGTGACATCGTCGTATCCGGCAAGTGTGAAGCAAGGACTGGTGCGTCGTGTGCTGGAGGCAGCGCGACAGCCGCTGGAGCGCGAGCAGTGCCTGGCCCTGCTGGCACTGGGCGCTCGCCTCTACGTGGGCGGCACCGACGAGCTGCCGCGCCGCGTGGGCTGCCAGCTGCTGCACGTGGCTGGCCGCCACCACCCCGAAGTCTTCGCAGAGTTCTTCAGCGCGCGCCGCGTGCTGCGCCTGCTGCAGAGTGGTGCTGGCCCACCTGGCGCCCGCGCGCTGGCTTGCGTGCAGTTGGGTTTGCAGCTGTTGCCCGAGGGGCCTGCAGCGGACGAGGTGTTCGCGCTGCTGCGGCGTGAGGTGCTGCGTACTGTGTGCGAACGCCCAGGGCCCGCGTCCTGTGCACAGGTGGCGCGGCTGCTGGCGCGGCATCCACGCTGCGTGCCTGATGGCCCGCACCGCCTGCTCTTCTGCCAGCAGCTGGTGCGCTGTCTTGGCCGCTTCCGCTGCCCTGCCGAGGGCGAAGAGGGTGCCGTGGAGTTCCTGGAGCAAGCCCAGCAAGTGAGCGGGCTTCTGGCGCAGCTGTGGCGCGCGCAGCCCGCTGCCATCCTGCCCTGCCTCAAGGAGCTGTTCGCAGTCATCTCCTGCACAGGTGTGTGTACGGGTGGGGCTGGTATGAATGCGCGTGCGCACGCAGGTTCCTGGTGGGTGTGTGGGCAGGTGTAGCATGTGGATATGTGGAATGAATGGATGGAGTGCTATCGTTCCTTTATTTAGTCAGTAAACCTACCCTGAATGCATACTGTGGGTCCTACCCTGGGCTGGTACTGGGGACACAGGGAGGAGCAGAATGCTCAGTGTGGGAGAAGGACACAGATCATTCTGGCCAGATGGAGGAATAGGGGGCTGAGGGAGCCAGCAGCCAGGGGAGTCATCATGCCCCTTGGGTTGGGTGGGTTTCACAGAAGTGGTTTTTGAGCCAAATCTTAAGAGACAGGTAGCATCAGGCAGCAGGAACAAGATTCTCTGAGCAGGCAGAGGCAAAGGTCTGGAGACATAAAGGAGCCTGCAGATGTCAAATCTAAAATGTAAAATACTGGCTCTCCTCTCCATTGACAACTGTGAAATTTGTACTATAGTGTAAATGACTGAAACAAATAAATAAATGCATCTGGCAGGAAGAAGAACCATGTGTATAAGGTCCTGGGTCTTTCTTATCTTGGGCCTCTGTTCCACCCCCCAAGTCCACATAGCCACTCCTACCTGTTCTGATATGCTGATGTTAGCCCTTCTATCACCCACAGCTATTTCTGTATACCCACAGGGTTGGGCCTAAAAGCAGTATAAGTGAAAGTTTGTTGAGTCATTGAATTAACATGGAATCAGAGGCTATGGTGCTCTAGGAGGCAAAGTGGTGGACCCTTATGTGTGTTTTTGCAGAGGCACAGCCAAATTCCTTTGCAGCATGAGGGCATGGGGTGATGAGGGAGGTGTGGGGGCTGCCTGTCCTGCTAAACTCAGCCCAGCTCCCTGTTCCAGAGGAGGAGCCACCATCTAGCGCCCTGGCCAGCGTGGTCCAGCACCTCCCATTGGAGCTCATGGATGGTGTCGTCCGGAACCTCAGCAATGATGACAGTGTGACAGATTCCCAGATGCTGACTGCCATCAGCAGGTGCGGTGCTGAGAGCAAGGTGGTAGTCATAGTTGGGCCCCCTTCCTTTCTTCCTTCCAGAAACCCCCTCTGCTGGTTGCGGGTGCTGGGTGAGATTTAGAATCAGAGAGCTTATGTCCTCATGCTTGTTCATTCATCAATCCTTTCTCCAGCCCTGCTCTGGGTCTGGTCCTGTGTTGGCTGTGGGGGATACAGACAGCCCTGACCTAGCAGTGAACTCACTGAGCCTCAGTTTCTCCTTCTATGAAAGGGGAGGTGGGTGTAAGAAGTTGTCAGGGTTTATGGGGTTGTATCTGGTAGCATAGTGGCTAAGACACTTGCCTGCTAACCAGACAGCTGGCAGGTCAAACCCACCAGCCACTCCTCGGAAGGAACGTTGGGCAATCCTACTTCCGTAGTGATACTGCCTCGGAAACCCAAGGAGGGGTCGCTATGAGTCGGGGCCGACTCGACGGTACATAACAACAACAACAAATAAGAAGGCAAAAGTACTTTGTAAAGTGCTTTCTGAGTTTGGCAAATATGATAAACAGAGTTTGGGTGCTTTTCAGCGCACAGAACTCTTGCGCATTCCTCACCTCATTTGAACATCATTTCACCTGTGAACTAGCTCCGCCTACCACCCAGTTAGCCCAGAATATGCTGTCTACCTTCCTGCCTGCAGGCCTTGACCTGGCACATCGCCCCCTGCCATTCTTTCCATGTCTTCTCCACAGGACCTTCCTGATTTCCTTGTCTTTTTTTTTTTGTGAAAATATACACAGCAAAACCCACTCCCCACTCCTGTTCCACAGTTGCTAGATATAATGATCAGTGACATTGCTTAAATTCTTCTGATTGCGTCAACATTGCTGTCGTTTCTATTAGAGTTGTTTCACCTGCACTTACTTAATCCCCTTACTCCCCAACTGTCTTAGTTATGTAGTGCTGCTATAAGAGAAATACCTCACATGGATGGCTTTAACAAACAAACGTATTCTCTCAGTTTAGGAGGCTAGAAGTCTGAATTCAGAGTGCCAGCTCTAGGGGAAGGCTTTCTTTCTCTGTCGGCTCTGGAGGAAGGTCCTTGTCTCTTTTCAACATCTGTGGGCCCAGCATTCCTTGGAGATCTACATATGTCTTGGCATCAGTCTTCCTCTGGGTTTAGGAAGTTCTCAGTGCAGGGACCCTTGGGTCCAAAGGATGGACTCTGTTCCTGGCTCTTTCTTGGTCAGGTCCCTCCTTCTCTGCATGCTTCTCTCTCCTTTTATCTCTTGTAAGATAAAAGGTGATGCAGGTACACCCCAGGGAAACTCCTCTGACATTGGATCAGGGCTGTGACCTGAGTAAGCCTGTTGCATTCCACCCTTATCCCCTTACAACTGATTGGCTGATCACATCCAATCACATCATGGGGAATGGTTACGTCATTATGTAACTACCAGATTACATCAGTACTGCCAAAACACTGAGAATCATGGTCTAACTAAGTTGACATATTTTTTGTGGATGTAATTCAATCCATGACATCAACCATCTTGCCTATGATTTAAAATAGGTGTTAACTCTTGGGTCTTACATAATTTTTTTTTTTTTTTTTAAGTAACACAATACTTGAAAGTGACAACCTCTACACTTTGGGCTGAACTATTAGGTACTTAGTTTAAAAGTGACTTCAGGGAATAGTTTCAATTAAAAGTTTGAAGAGCAACTGAGGGCAAGAGTCTCAAGGACTCCTTGAGACACAATAGGTCCAGTAAATCTAGATTCTTTAAGGATTTGAAGTTGTGTTCTACATGTTTTCCCCTTATTATCAGGATTTCTCTAGTGTATTCCTGATCAGAACCTTCAGTAGTGGTGGTGGGCACCATCTAGTTCTTCTGGTCTCGAGGCAGATGAAGCACTGGTGCATGTAAACATTTACTCCTGTAGTGCAGTTCCTTCTCTGATTCTTGGGTTTGGTTTCCTTGTCATTATTTTTTGAGAATGTATCCTCTGGAGGTAAGTTATTTGAATTCAAATCCTGTCTCTACCACCTGCTGCCTGTGTGACTTTGGGCAAATTCCTCAGCTTCTCAATGTTTTAGTTTCCTCATCTATAAGATGGAATATAATAGAATGCATTTTAGAGGGTTGATGTGTAGATTAAAGTAGATAAAAAGAGATAAAATTGAAGTTGAAGAACACAATTTCAAATTCTTAAAGAATCTAGATTTACTGGACCTATTGTGTCTCAAGTAAAGTGCCTAGAACAGTGCCAGAAATGTAAGCAGTTATTATCACAGTTACTATTTCTTTGCTCTCTCATTGTTCTCTCTCATTATAGCAGTGTGCCGAGTATAAAAATAATGATAATAGTGACATTTTCCCAAGCACCTACCATGTGGCAGCTTCGTGCTCAATCCACACAGGCATTTTGTTGTGGGCTTCAGATGAGTAAAATATTTGTAAAACAGAGTAGTATCTGGTACAGAGCAAATACTATACAAATATTAGCTAATGTTATCTTTTTTCATCTGTATAACACCCCTGTAAGGTAGACATTGTCCCCATTTTACAGAAGAAGAAACTGAGGCTCAGAGGAAAAGTGACTTGTTCTAGGTCACATTCAGAGGCTTGCAGGAGCCAGAGCTTTTGGCCCAGGGACAGTGCTCCTTGTGCCATGGGTCCCTGGGGTACAGACAGAAGCAGCCAAAAGCCCTATTCTGTCACTGCAGCCCCAGTGTGATAAGGTGAGTTTTGGGGTGCTGAGAGGGCCTGAGTCTCACGTAGGTGCCAGTGCCAGGCCCATTTGCATTTCCCAGAGGTCTCATGTTCATCCTACAGGCCCCAGGTGCCCTGTGCAGGTGTGAGTCAATATGGGAACTCAGGACAGGTCCTTGGGCTGTTGTTAGTCAGGCATTTGCGCCTACCTCATCCCTGTGTCACTGTCATTCCCTTCACCAGGATGATTGACTGGGTGTCCTGGCCTCTGGGGAAGAACATTGACAAGTGGATCATTGCACTGCTGAAGGGCCTGGCTGCTGTTAAGAAGTTCAGCATCTTGATCGAGGTTTCACTCGCCAAAATTGAGAAGGTTGGTGGGCCCCTGCCCTAGCTTTAGGCTTGTGGCTTTCCCACTAATCTCTTACCAGTGCCAATGCCCTCCCGGGAGGCAGGGCACCAGGGCTGGGACCCAAGCTTGCCGTGTGACCTAGGTCAATTCACTGTCCCTCTCTGGGACCCAGGTTTCCCCCATTCATTTCTTGGACTGCTCACTGAAGTATGTGCGTCTTTATCACTTGGTCTGTCCATCCATCAGATATCTACCTGTCTTGCTGTCTATTTCTCCATCTCTATCCATCCAGGTCTATGAGCACCTCTTTGGTTTTGCTCCTACATGGGTCTGCGACTTCAGCTTTGGTGTGTATCTGACTGGGGCCAAGCCCCACTGTCAGGCCTGTGGCTGCACTTGGCCTCACGTGGTCTGGCCTGGGGACTCCTGACCCAGTGACTTTCTTCCAGGTGTTTTCCAAGCTGCTGTACCCCATTGTCCGGGGAGCTGCCTTGTCCGTCCTCAAGTACATGCTCCTGACTTTCCAGCACTCCCATGAGGCCTTCCACCTGGTAAGGGCCTCTGCCTTCAATAGTAAGGACTTGAAGCTCACAACCTTGAAGTCTTGGATGTTAGCACTAGAGGAGACTTGAAACCCCGTTTTACAGATAGGAAACTGAAGCTGCAAAATGTGCATGGCCTCCCTCACGGGCACACAGTAGATTGATAGAGCCTAGAAGGATGATAGTTCATTTTACTTTGGCGCCAGTTGTGTGCCAGGCACAGTGCTAAAGGCAATATATATGTTAATGTATGACTGTGAGCAAGCTTCTGTCATTTTCTCCAGGTGAGGAAATGGCAATTTTGAGAGGTCATGTCACTTATCACAGAAACACAGCTGCTGAATGTACAGGGAAGATTCAAGCCAAGTTGGTATGACTCCCAACCCAGTGTCCTTCCTATGCTCTGCTGCTCACCAGAACCCAGGTGGCCTCGCTTCCAACCTGGCCCCTTCTGCTGTCTTCTGGGGCCCTCCCTGGGAAGGACAGCCAGAGTGCACAGGATGCTGCCCTCCTCGCCCTGCCTGCCTTCCCCAGGGACCTGCAGATGGGGCCCTTGATTCCAATGGTCCCTGGTCAGGCCAGTGAAACCCATTTGATTACAGTGGAAGAAACACAGAACCAGGAATTGGAGTCTTGGAGTCGAGTCCTAGCTGTGTCTCTTGCCAGTTGTGGTGATCGTGGACCAGACACTTAACCTCTAGGAGACTAGAACAGGGGGACAGTCTTAGGCTGGTGGGAGAGTATTAGATGAGGTAATTAGGGACTTGACAGATATTTGCTTCCTTCCCACCTTTTCCTGGGCTCCCATGCTCCTGGTTCCTGTGGCCTGACATCATCCATCCCTGGGACATTGTGGTAGAGTAATCCTATGGGTTTCAGAGTTAAATTTCTGTAGTCCAGGGCAAAGAAATGTGCTTTGGATACAGACAGCCTGGTTCAGACACCTGCTTCCCCTCTAAGCCACTGCAAAATCCTTGGCAAATTATGTAATTTCTTACCTCAATATCTTCATTTATAAAATGGGGATAATACTTGCTCCTGGTCGCTATGAGTTGGGTTTGATTCGACAGCACATAACAACAACAACAACAACAACTTGCTGCTGCATAAAGTCATTGTGAGGATGAGGGAGATGGTATGCACATTTACACGTGAAGTACTGGAACATAAATGTTCCTTAGCAAGAGTGACAATGTTTGCCCTTAGAAGCTGCCCATCCAGCCACAGCATCACTCCTGGGTAGACAGAGCAGCATTGTTCACTCATGCCTTCAGGCTCCTTAGGCAGGTCAGTTGGCTGAGGTTAAGCAGCTGGGGTTTGGGCTCAGGCCCTCCCCTAAACCCTGTGAAAAGGGTATTACTTATCCCATTTGATAGATGAAGAGACTGAGGCAGGATGTCTTAAGGTCACATGTCTTGAAAAAGGAATCACCTGTCAGCAGAACTTAGTGTTCCACCTGGGCAGGGAAGACAGTGGGCTGGATGGGTAAGCCTCCCTGCTTCAAAGAGCTCTGGCTGTTCCCAGCAGTGACCACATTCCCGTGTCTCAATGGTAAACTGGTGCTGAGTCTGTCCCTGTCTGTTCTCACAGCTCCTTCCTCACATTCCTCCCATGGTGGCTTCTCTGCTCAAGGAGGACTCGAACTCAGGAACTAGCTGCCTGGAGCAGCTGGCAGAGCTGGTTCACTGCATGGTGTTCCGGTTCCCAGGCTTCCCAGACCTGTATGAGCCCATCATGGAGGCCATCAAGGTGAGTCACAATCCTTATCTTCTCATCTCACTTTACATGGGTGCCAGCAGTGGGCTTGCTCACAGTCATGTGATGAGTTGGTGGCTGTCCCCCATCATTTGGCCCCTAGCTACCTCCTATTACCTCCCCAGGCCCACCCTGTGCTATAGGCACACTGAGCTACCTCTTGTTCCCCAAATGAGTCATCCTTTCTGTCACACTTGCTCTGAGCCTTTGCATAGGTTGTTCTAACTGTGCACTTTTTCTTGTTGTGCCAGGATAGCTCCTACATATTCTTTAAGTGTTACCTCCCTAGATGACCCTCAATACCTTTCCTTCCTCTACCAGGGCTGCTCTGGGCTCCCACAGCCTGGTGCATCCCTCTGTTACAGACTGGGAATCAGTCTCCCCCATGAGACTGTGGACACTGTGGAAACAGGGATTGTTTATAGTTGTTCACACAACAACCCAGACTGGGAACTGGGGACACAGGCATGAGGCAAAGAGAATCTCTGTCACTGAGGAGCTTGCAGCTTAGTGGGGATGATAGACTTGCAACTCTGATCGAAGCAGCTTATGAAAACATCCTTGAAGTTTCCCTAAGATCAGTGAGGAACCAGAGGGGGAGAGAACCCCTCCAGTGTGAGAAGGAGGCTACAAGGAAGAAAGGGTTTCTAACCTGGCTTGATAGGTTGCTTGGATCTGGCCAGTGCAATGACTGACAATAACTGAGAGATGTCTAGGTAGGTGGTGGCCCTTCCAGAACCTCTGGCCTGACTCTGACTACCATTTCTGCAGTTGGGCAGACTAGATAACCTGAAAAATGTCCCCCTACAAAATACTTAGAAATACTTGTTAAAATGCAACAAAATCTTTTTGAGTATGTAGCTGAGCTTATAAGAAAGTAAGGGGGGAATACCCAGGGGCCAAAGAGGAAGAGAAAACTGAATCCCAGAATGGTAAGTGAGAGATGATGCTCTTTGGCCCTAGGGTGGGGAGGAAGGGGGTTGCATGGCCAACTTCAGTAACCCAAGGGCTTAGCTTTAATGGCTGGTAGGGTAGGAGTTGAGGCTTAGGACCAGTAGAGAGTTGACATGAAGACTTCCACATAAAGTCAGAACCTTAAAAAGGCATTACTGTTAGTGAAAGAGTGATTTAAATAAAATGTCCCAAATAGACATCAGGGGAACTTCTTGCTTGATCTGGAATCTGAATTGAAAAAAAGAAATTTGTAATCAGTGGCCTACTCTCATATGGATTCAGGAGTTCAAATTTTTATTATCTTTGGGATTATAGAAACTGCAAGCTTAGAAACTAACATTAAAAGTAGTCACAAATTTATAATGACCTGGAACTGCCTGGTAGAAATAGAAACAAAACTGAATTCAAGCCACACAGTGAAAGTTCTACTGAAGAGATGAATTTATAGTCCCTAAATTATAAAACACATAAGGGAACAATTCATCATGAGTGAGAGTGGGTAGATACAATAAACAAATCTCTGATATTGACTGAGATAGTCTCAGTTTTTATCACTTAACATGAAAAAAGAATTTTCTGATAGTCAGAGCTAACTTACCATGGAAGGGTTGCCTTGATAGGTCTTTAACTCCCTGTCACTGAAGTTGAATGAGCAGAGGAGACAGGACTTCCACTTGTTGGGAATGTTGCCTATGTTGTAGGCATTAGAATAGAGGTGGATCAAGAAATCTGTGACTGTTGCTTTCTGCTGGATTGTGAGCAGGTGAGCAGAGGACCATGTTGTTTTGAACTCTGTGTCCCCTGGGCCTAATAAACGTCTGTGAGTAAATGAATGAATGGACTATCCTTACAACATGACTGTAGTGTGAAGAGTGCTATAATAGAGGTGTGAACAAAAAATACGGCCCAGCACTGGGCCCTCATGGGAACTCAAGATGAGAGACCCAGGCTTTGCACACTAGAGTCTGATGGTGTGGTCCAGGGCACAAGGTGAGTCTGCAAATACCTATACCCTAGGTGCAGGGAGTTAGGCTTTAGAGGACAGGTACAGTCAGCATAGTGGCTCCACTTGAAAAGATCCTGGAAAGCTTCATGAAGAGGGTACATAAGAGTTAGACCTTGACAGTTAAGGACTGACAGCAAGAGTGCGTGTGTACTTCAATGGCAATGTGGTGGCAGAGTGGAAGGCAGATCAGAAACAGCAGGGCAGAGGGCTTTGAAATCCAGGCTGAGTTGTTCTGCTCAATCCAGCAGATCGAGGCTTCTCAAAAGGTTTTCACCAAAATACTTAATGTCAGAAGAGGGGACTTACTGAAAGTAGTCTGACACGATCCCCAAGTTTCTTTTAAATCTCATTTTAACCTTAAGATTCGATTATATACTTCATAATTTATCATTATTTTTAATTTGTTTTAATATAAACAAATTTTTCCTTCCTGACCATTAAGAGAGTGTAGCTCTGGGAAGATGCGCTACATTTATCCCATGATTTTGAATACAATTCCATTTGAGAAGCAAGGCAGCAAATTATCCACAATCCCATCGCCATAGGATCTTATTGTTTAAACCCTTTCACATGTGTTCTCTGAGTCATCCTTTCCTGTACACACACTCCTTGATAATTAGGTTCTGGGAAGCTCTCTCAGTGCCCTTGTGTCAGGTTACGGCAGTTTCTCGGGGAGCTGTGGTCCTTGCTAAGGGATCCATCGTATGAAAATTTCAAGTAACATTAGGAGCTTGAGAGCTATTTGGAAGTTTTCTTCTTCTTCATCTTCAAGAGTACAAAGTTACCCTTTTTGGGAGAAAAATGGCATTTGATTTTTTTTTCCTAGTGTGGATTTTTTAAAAAATCTTTTGTGCATGTACATGCACACATGTGTATGTGGGGTTTGCTTCCTGTCTCTCTTTTTGTCCCTGTTTGTTCATGTTGTGGGCTAGCAGGATTGGAGCGGGAAGAATAGGAAGAAAAAAGAATTAAATGGAGAGAGAAGGTACTGAGCTTCTACATTCTTATCTCCCCTGTGGCAGCTCCTTTTTTTTTTTAAATCATTGGTGGTGAGAGAGCACTGAATAATCTATTAAATTTTCTGATAAATTATCCAGGGAAAAGAGCAAAAATGTGAAGCCACTGCTTGAGCAAGACCTTCTGCAGTAGTCAGGACATGTGTACTGGGGAGACGGGGCTTTTGACGATAAGCTGGTATGAAGCTCAGGTGCTGTGGACAAATCTAGAGTATTGTGCTCAGGATCTGGAAATAAGAACAGGGCTAGAGGAACTGTTAGGAATGTTACTTAAATCTACTCAGGTAGCACTGCATTGTGCTTTGGTGTTTTTCTTTAAAACACATCCTTATTAGAACTAGTGCTTGGTAATGCTTTTTAGGTGCAGCTGTTTAATGTGGAAAAAGATAAGGGGGAAAGCATGACCAAGGACCCACATACCTCAAACCCCTGGAATCTCCCACTGTCCCTACTGTAATATCAAGTTCCAGGGAGATGACTAATGTTCTTGAAAGCTAGCTCTGCAGACCTAAAAGTAGGAGGTAAAAACGGGAACACCATTGTGTGCAAGCATCATGAAAGTACAGAATGCCAAATTAATTCAATGAAGAAGGTTCTTCACTTCACACATGAGAAAACCCAGGGAGGCTAACTGACTAAGTCAGGGAGTCTCACTGACCATGGCCAGGTGGCTACCGAGGACGAGAAATAAGGACCAGAATTGAGATTTTGACACCACTGAATTGGCCAGTGGACCAGAGTTGTTGCTTAGAGAGTCAGTCATATCCTTGGCTCTTTTCAGAGAACACAAATCCCTTACTCATTGCCCCTATGATCCTGGAAAATGATTTCTTTCTGTGAGCCTTAGTTTTTTCAACTATAAAATGGGGATCATACCAACTTCTTAGGATAGTTATGATACAAACTATTATGTAGGAGGCCTATATGTCAAGATGAGAACCTGGAATGAGTTTGAAAGCAGGGGGGCTGTTCACACAGCATTTGTAGGGTGAAGTGTTTGGCAGGGTGTGGGGTGGGCTGCAGTCCAAGGAGGCTTCCCAGAGGAGGTAGTATTTTCAGAGCTGATGCTGGTGTTCCCTTCCCAGGACCTCCATGTTCCCAATGAAGACCGCATCAAGCAGCTGCTGGGCCAGGATGCCTGGACTTCACAGAAGAGTGAGCTGGCTGGCTTCTACCCCCGGCTCATGGCCAAGTCAGACACGGGCAAGATTGGTTTAATCAATCTGGGCAACACATGCTATGTGAACAGCATCCTCCAGGCCTTGTTTATGGCTTCTGAGTAGGTGTTGATTTCCAGTTCCCTGTCTGCCTTTGCTCTTCTTCTTTGGGCTCTCTGGTGAGAGGTGTACAGTGGTGGAGTTGGGGATGGGGCTTCACATTGTGGTTATGATTTCCTGAGGTCTTTGGGTACATTAAGGACAGGTGAGAGACTCCAAAGACCATAGGCCATTGCCAAAGGTATAGGTCAGGACTGAATGGACATTCAAGATGGGGCTTTGGGTCAAGCTGCCATGGGGAGGGGTCTGCTCCCAACTGGTTGACATCACTGACTTTTCTCCAGGAGTCCATAGGGAGTAAACTGTGTCTTCCAGGACAGACCTCTCACTTACTCTAGTATTAGACATCTCTTTTGAAAAAGTCGCTGGTGGTGCAAACCCACCAGCCACTCCTTGGAAGGAAGATGGGGCAATCTACTTCCGTAGTGATACTGCCTCGGAAACCCAAGGAGGAGTCACTGTGAATCAGATCTGACTCAACAGTAGTGAGTTCGGTTTAGTTTTGGTTTCAAAAAGTCAAGTGGTGCAGTGGATAAAGCATTTGGCTACTAACTCAAAGGTCAGCAGTTCAAACGCACCAGCCGCTCTGCCAGAGAAAGATGAGGCTGTCTGTTTCTGTAAAAATTTATAGCCTTGGAAACCTTATGGAGCATTTGTACTCTGTCATATAGGGTCACTATGAGTCTGAATCAACTCGATGACAGTAGGTTTGGTTTGGTTTCAAAAAGTCAAAGTGAAAGTAAGTTTGATTCTAGCTCATTCACCTCAGTCAGTGACCTCAAGTGAGTGTCTTCTCTCCGAGCTTCAGGGTCCTCACTGGTAGGAGGAGGTCTCTGATTGGGGGAGCTGATCTCTATTAGGAAGCACCTTACTCCCTAAGGTACTGCTTCTTGGGCTTCTCAAATGGTCTGTGGTAAAGGACTAGTTTTTGTTTTTCTAATTTTTGGTCTATTGCAGACCATTATGTTTGTAAAATACAGTAACAGTGACTTATCAGAGAAATGATTCATGTGGTTGTGTGGTTGTAGCAATGTCCAAATGCTATAAAAGTTTCTAAGTGTTATTCAGTTTCTGAACTTTTCTTGTCACAGACTGGCTAGGTGGCCCCCTCTATGAAAATTGTGGGTACTCAAGTACTTAATGGACTTAGTTCGGAGAAATTCATAACCTATCTGCCCATAACTTCTTATGGGAACTGGAGCTAAGTTGCGCCTGGGATTCACCTTGTTCCAGGGAGCATGGGTGTCAGGATGGGTCTCCTTCCTGTCTCCCATAATATCAAAAAAAGCAAACCAAACCCATTGTTTATCAAGTTGATTCTGACTCATAGCGACCCTTTAGGACAGAGTAGAACTGCTGTGGAGCAACTGGCAGGTTCAGACCTCTAACCCTTTGCTGGGCAGCTGAATGCTTTAACCACTGTGCCACCAGAGTTCTAGGTGAGCCCTGCTACTGTTTCCTTCTTTTAGCCTTTTTCCCTTAATGATCCCTGCCTCCCTCATCTGAAGGCACAGTAGGAGTAATTAAGGGTGGTCCTAGAGATAGGGATTGTAAGAGTGGACTTGAAGGGCTTAGGTCAGAGAAAGAGAGGCTATTCTGGATGGGTCTAAAGGCCATTTTCTGGGGAAAGAGGGAGAAGGGTATGTGAGTGGCTGGTGTTGATATTGGCACAGACTCTGGGGCCTGCCAGAGTCCACACCTTAGAGCCCTGAACCATGGGACCCTAGAACATTTCAATCTTTGAACCTTGGAGTCATGGGTGTCCAAGCTAGAAGGGACTGCAGGGGTTACCTAGTTGAACCCCTTGTTATCCACACCAATGCCATTGCCTTGTCACCTCAGACACTCCAAGCCAAGTTGTTCACCTGTTCCTCCTCCTTACCTTTGACTTTAGCTGGGAATTTCTGCTCTGCCCATAACCTAGAGCTCTGGGTTTCCTGCAGGATGGAGACATAAAGGTTCTTTGGGTGCTGTTGGCTCACCCTGGGTATTCCTGCTTTGTTTTGAAGCTTCAGACACTGTGTGCTCCGTTTGACTGAGAACAACTCACAGCCCTTGATGACCAAGCTGCAATGGCTCTTTGCCTTCCTAGAGCATAGCCAGGTGAGTGCAGGGGGAGTAGGGTGGGGTAGAGAGGAGGCACTGATCAAACTCCCTTACCCACCCCCGTGATCCCTTATCCCCAAGTTGATCTGATACCCTTCATCCCCCAGGTACTATCTGCACCTGGCTGTGAGCTCCCACTTCCTGGATTAGGTAGCTGAGCTGCAGTCAGGTTTAACCCAAAGCCCATGGGGCTAATTCAGTGTCCTTATAGGCCAGGAAAGGGGTGCTTCCTTGAGCTTCTGTGTGCTGCCCAAATCTCTCCCTTTAGTATTCAGCCCTTTGCTCTAAGGTGTTGCGTCATTCATTCTATTGTCATTTTTTTTGAGCCCCCATATTTCCAGGCATGCTGAGGGGTACCAAGGATACAGTGGCGACAAATACTGTCTTTCCCTTATAGAACCTAAAGCCCTGTGTGGTGGCACAGAGATGAGTATGCCACAGTCCCTGCCCTCTTGGAGAATCTAGTCTGGTGAGGGGCAGACAGACCTGCAGATAATAAGCATAACACTTATACAGGGAAATGCAGTGTCCTTTGGGCCTGCAGGGAAGGGAGGGGTGGATTAGGTTAGAGGAGGAGGCATGGGAAGACATCATGGAACAGGTGACACTTCATGCATCTGGAACTTGAACTCTCAAGGGAAGATTTTGGTGGAGAAGAAGGGTGGGCAGAGGGAATGGCAATGAGCAAAGGTGTTGAGAGAAAGTTTGAGGTATGTCAGGAAACAGCAGATTCCTAGAGGTTTAAGGCCTCTTCAGAATGTGTGGACCTGGCAGGATGGGATGGGTGAGGGACAACTATGAAGGAGGGGAGTACATTGAGAAAGCTGGGAAGTGAGGGGCAGAGAGTCGCCATGTAGACTCAGTCCCAGCACACTGAGAGATGGTTGATGAGTGGTCTCCTGCTCCTGACCCTATCTTTCACTGCCTTGGTCCCAGCGGCCTGCCATTTCCCCAGAGAACTTCCTCTCTGCTTCTTGGACACCCTGGTTCAGCCCTGGCACCCAGCAGGACTGCTCAGAGTACCTGAAGTACCTGCTGGATCGGTAAGGGAGGCCAGGACTCCTGGCTCTGTGCAGGGGGCTCCAGGTCTGGAGAGGGTTCCTGGGTGAGGGGGGCAGAGGGGGAGAAGGCCCCACACCTCCAAGCTGTGTTCCATCTTTCCTAGAAGTGGGACTGCTGTGTTGTGTTTGTGCAAGTAGTGGAGAAGGAGCATGCACTAAGTGTAGGGGCTGGGTTGAGTGTGAGGGAAGTTGGGGAAGTGCTGAGCTGAGACACCTCCTGTGGAGGGAAAGATGGGTAAGTGGGTATATTTGCACACTGCTGTCCTTGCCTGAGTGTACACATGTGTGTGTATATGTATCTCTGTTACTGCTCTGGGGGCATATGTACATACAGTTGGCAGTCTTCACGTAGAGTGTTTGCATGCCTGCATGCAGGTAAGTGCATACCATGGACCTGGCTGTGTGAGTGTGTGTGCACCCATATGTCCTAGTGTGCCATTGTGCACATACCTGTGCATGTCCTTGCACGTGTACACGTCTGTCTGCTGTGTGACCAGTTGAGTACAGGTAGGTGGGTGTGAGCTGAAGCAGGTGCACTGGAGATGGGTCATGTATGAGCGCATGGACTCTGTGCTTCCTGCTCCAGGCTGCATGAGGAGGAGAAAACTGGGGCAAGGATCTGCCAAAAGCTCAAGCAGTCCAGCTCGCCCTCCCCACCTGAGGAGCCACCCAGTCCAAGTTCAACCTCTGTGGAGAAAATGTTTGGAGGCAAGATTGTGACTCGGATACGCTGCCTCCGCTGCCTCCAAGTCTCCTCCAGGGAGGAGGCCTTCACAGACCTTTCCCTTGCCTTTCCTCCCCCTGAGCGTTGTCGCCGCCGCCGCCTGGGCTCAGTGATGCTCCCTGCAGAGGAGGTTCGAGCCGGGGACCTCCCACCATCACCCCGATCCAAGGTCCCAAACCGAGAGGGTCCTCGGAGGCAAAGGAAACACTACATCACAGGGGACGTCCTTCCCACCGTCCTGGACATTGCCAACCTAGGCTCCCAGGGGCCTGTGGGGCAGAGGAGTAAGGAGGAGCCGGTGGAGAGGGAGGAGGATGGGGAGGAGCAGCACACAGAGAAGGAGGAGAAAGAAGTGGGAAAGGCAGAGGAGGAGGAGGAAAAGACGGAGGAGGAGGAGGAACAGAAAGAGGTGGAGGAAGAAAGGAAGGTGGAAGAGGAAAGGAAGGTGGAGGAGGAAGAGAAGGCAGAGAAGGAGAAGGAAAAGGAGGCAGAGAATGAGAAGGAGAAGGATGAGGACAGCCAAGGACCAGATGCCCACAGAGATGCTGCACCCTCCTCTGGAGAGCAAGTGTGTGGCCCTGAGGGCTCCCGCTCTGTCCTAGACTTGGTCAACTACTTCCTGTCTCCTGAAAGGCTGACAGCAGAGAACCGCTACTACTGCGATTCATGCGCCTCCTTGCAGGATGCTGAGAAGGCGGTGGAGCTGAGCCAGGGGCCCCGCTACCTCATCTTGACACTGCTGCGCTTCTCCTTCGACCTGCGCACCATGCGGCGCCGCAAGATCCTGGACGACGTCGCCATACCCCTGCTGCTCCGCCTGCCACTGGCGGGTGGCCAGGGCCAGGCCTATGACCTCTGTAGTGTTGTGGTACACTCTGGTGTGTCCTCGGAGAGCGGCCACTATTACTGTTATGCCCGTGAGGGGACTGCCCGCCTACCCCCTTCTCTGGGAACTGTGGACAAATCTGAGCCTGAGAACCAGTGGTATCTGTTCAACGACACTCGGGTGTCCTTCTCTTCCTTTGAATCTGTCAGCAACGTCACCTCCTTCTTCCCCAAGGACACGGCCTATGTGCTTTTTTATCGGCAGCGGCCTGGGGAGGGGCCCGAAGCCGAGCCTGACTCCCCCAGGGTCCGAGCGGAGCCCACCCTCCACAAGGACTTGATGGAAGCCATTTCCAAAGACAACATCCTTTACTTGCAGGTAAGTAAACCCATCGGGATTTTTGATCTGATCTCGGGTGAAGAGGGATGGTCCAGTTCTAGCTCAATCAATGACTCAATTAAGCTATTTTCTCCTCTTTGAGCCTCTTCCTTTTTTCTTGTATCAGTCATCCATCCATACATCCATCCATAGCTGAGTGCTGATAATTGGTGACCCATGACCCCTTACTGTTACTATGCAGTTACTCAGTGTGCCGAAGGAGGAACATGGGTTCCAGAAGAGGGTACAGTATGAGCAGGTAGAGAATGCTTCTGTTGAGGGGTGGGTCTCCCTCAAATGAACCTATCTAACTGTGCCTTTGATGCCACCCATTAGAGGCAAGGATAGTATTGGAAACACTTAGCAACTGGAACAGCAAGGATTCTGATCTGTGGGTATGGGTACATGCCGTAAACTACCAGAGTGGCCACACCAGGCCATACCTGTAGAGACCAGCACTTGGAAGTGGTATTTTGTGTGGGGAAGGTAGGATCTGGAATGGGGACACCAGGCCTGTTTTTACATTTTTGCTGGGCTGTCCAGGCAGAGCCAGGACCAGTGGTGGGGAGTCTCCCTGAGGCTTTCCAGCTTAGCAGGAGGAAGAACTTCCTGACAGACAGACTCTACTCCTAGTGCCCCTGGAGGCAGTGAGTTGGATGGCTGCTGGTTAGGAAGCCTGTGGGGAGGTTCCTGTGTGGGATGATGTGACCCTCCATTCTTGCTTCCTGGCCACATCAGGTCCTGCCAGCAATTCACAGTTTAGTATGAATGAGTTTTTATCCTCCAAGAGGTGCAGAGTTTTCACTGGGAGGAGGTGGAGGGAAGATTTTGAAGCCTAGATGTAGGGTGGAGGGGTGGGTCTGTCCTATTCATCCCTTCACTGATCTGGAAGCTGCATGTCTTGACTCTAGGGACCTAGAGGAGACACTCAGGAGGGGTATGCTGAATGGCTCTGGGGGAGGGGGTGAAGGGAGGACCCTGGCTTCAGAGTCTGAGTTTTAAGCTTCTTCCCCCATCCTCCCCACCCCATCTGTGTTCCCAGGAGCAGGAGAAGGAGGCACGGAGCAGGGCAGCCTACATCTCTGCACTCCCTGCATCTCCCCACTGGGGAAGGGGCTTTGACAAAGACAAGGATGAGGATGAAGGCTCTCCAGGGGGCTGCAACCCTGCAGGTGGCAATGGTGGTGACTTCCACAGACTTGTCTTCTAAGGCAAACCCTGCCCCCCAGCCTGCTCCTACCTGTGCGGGCACAACAGCCCACCTCAGAGGTGGCCTTGACCCCCTTCCTTCTGGGAGCCAGGTGGGGAGACCAGGTCCCAGGCAGAGGTGCTCTGCCAGGTGGGGTTTGAAGGGGGCTGTGGAGGCAGGCCCAGCCGTGAGGATGTGGAGGTAGACCTTTCTAAGGGCAGGAAAGATGGAGAGGAAACTTCTGGGACATCGCCCGAAGGGTAGATGGAGACACTATGGTAAATGGAGGTTAGATCCAAGCCCCTGAAATAGGGCCTTGGGCCCTTATGCTGGAATCTACCCCATTAAGATTTTACACCCAAGTGTCTTGGTCAACTTGAAGCAGCTTAGATGGACACCCTCTGGGCTTTGCTCTCCCCCAGGTCCCCTAGAAGGCTACCGGTACTGGAATGTGTGGTTGTGTAATGGAAACAGAGAGCTGAACTTAACAGCTCTAGTGTTCTGCCACCAAATAGCATTTCCCTTCCAGCTCCTTTCAGATAACTTTATTGCCCTGTAGTATAGAAAGGGGAGCAGGATCCAAACCCTTGCACAAGGAGGACTGTGTGCCACACCTCTGGCCTTCCCCTCAGTTTTCTGCCTCAAGCACACCCAAAGAGCGGGCCAGGACACTCTGGATTACAGAGGGTTTTTCAGAGGCAACCTATGTGGGTGCCTGCCCCGATTGTACTTTCCTGAGAGGAGTGTAAGTGAGAAGCGGCTTGTCACAGGATCAGAGACTAAGAATCGCACCTGGTCTGACTCCTCCTTTACCTGTTCCCTGACCCTACACCAAGCAATGATACATAGCAGGGAGGATAGCCCCCCCTCCCACAGTGGGAGGCCCTTAACCCCAACTTCCTGTCCCCTAGCCTGCCTCAGTGCCTGAGATGCCACTATTTGCATCCCCTTTCTGGTTAAGGTACAGAGTACTTATTTTACTGCAGATATGTCTGTGTTTCTCTTGACGCCATTCTGAGGAAAGCTGGCTGGCTCAGCTCCTCTGGTCAGTTGGCCACTATAGTGTTGAGAGCAGGGCTGGGGGTTGGAGTTGGGGTGTTGATGGTGGCCCCCTGAGGAGTGGGTGGTGGTAGACTCAGTGAAGAATAGATATTAACTTCATATACCCCGACACTGCTACAGCCCCTTCCGAATGGAGAGAAGATACCTTGGTTCTCAAACAGGAATAAAAATAAGTCCTCTGAAGCCTTTCAAGATGTCATTCTTCACTCTCTCAGTGGCTGTGATGTCCTGCTATACCACTGGTTTTCTTACTGTTTCCAGTCAGTAAAGAGGGTGGGGGTCCTTTGAAAATGACTTAGGTTCTGCATCTCATTCAGCATGACCTGGGGGATACTTCCCTCCTAGAACTTTGGCTCCTAAGTAAAATGAGGATCTGCTCCCTGCGTGTTGGCTTATGAGATACGCCATGGAAGGTGAAGACCCTCTGTAAATTGAAGAGCTGTACAAATAATAATGCAGACTTGACCAGTGCTGGGACCAGCTGAGGTCTCAGATGTATAGCTGGGACCAGGTCCAGTGGAGGAAGGAAGAGTGCTTTCCTTTGCTCTGAGCATTATTGAGCTGTCTGCCTCTGGAGGGTGGGTGCACAGGCTAGGGGCTACTTCTTGGGATGCTGTGGAAGGAATTCACCTACCAAGTGGAGTTGAAGCCCTAATACTGGGATTTTCCAGACTTAGGGTCTTCTAAGAATTCTGTGCAACCCTCCCCCCCCAAACCCAGACTCACTGCCATCATGTTGACTGGACTCTTAGTGATGACTCCTTGGGTTTCCAAGGCAGTCTCTACGGAAGCAGATTGCCCAATCTTCCTTCTGATGAGAGGCTGGTGGGTTTGAACTGCCAGCCTTCTGGTTAGCAGTCACATGCCTTAGGCACTATGCCACCCCACAAATACCAATTATCATCCTTCCTTCCTTTTTTCTGAGAAGCTGGCAGTGGGTGGAGGGGGAGGGTTGTGGCCTCTCCTGGGCTAGACTTATGCATCAGCCTAGGGAAAAGCTGGGAGGTGGCTGAGCTGGAGAGGAGCACAGGACAGGCTCTGTGTGCAGAGTCCTTTGTGCTCAACCTGCCCCGCCTTGGGAGAACACAGAATTTGGGAAGGTTGAGATGGAGGAGGCGGAGGAGATGGAACAACCAGGGGCTTCAAGAGCCGCTTTCTTGTACTGTAGGTAGAACTAAGTTTTGGCCCAAATGTCATAGATCCTTGAGATCTCAGACCTTACACACCAATGAAAGTGGGCTTGAGGTGACACAGTCCATCAGAGACTCAGAATCTGTCTCCAGACTCCCAGTTCAGTGCAACTTCAGGGAAGATGAACTGGGAGATGCTATTACAGTTTCCATTTTACAGGTGAGGAAAACAGATTCTGAATTAGAAAGGATTCATCCTAACTTCTAGCCAAGACGAGTACCAAGTTATTTCCTGTTTGAAAGTGGAGAGAGCACACAGATTTTTCTGGGTTCATGAGAGCAAGGATTCTGATTTGTGTGTGTGTGTGTGTCTCAAGAGCATGTGTTTAAGTCTACACATCATCTTAGGAATGACAAGCAGCTGTCGGCTCCCAGGTGAGCCCCAGTCTGGGATTTGAGTCTGTATGGATCCCATTCTCTACCCCTTCAGACAAAGCAGACTCAGCAGCCCTTTCTGACTGTATTTCTAAGGACTTTTATTGTTGTCCTGCTCCAACACCACAGTAAAAAGGGACCTGCAAGCTCCAGGCCTGTACCATGTGCTACCACAGCAAAAACATCACCCACTTCAACATGTTCCCACCCCACCCCCAGATCTACTCACAAGATAAATATGTGTTACATTTTTTTTTAAAGAAAAAAGAATAAATTAATAACTTAAGTGATTAGGCACCAACAGTGATTTGAAAAATTAAATGTCAATTTTAAATGGCAACAGGACGAAAACTTAAGACTGGGCTTCTACTAGCCCATTATTTTCTCTTCCTGACAAATAGCAACAATTCTGTGTGAAATAATTCTAAAATTTCAAGACACACATAACCAACAGATACACAAGAACACACACCACCAATATCACATGACAGCCTGAAGCTTCTAATGGGCCTTCAGGAGGCAGCCCACTGTGGCCCCAGGCCTCAAAGCATTCAGCCTGGTCCTAGAAAGATGGCCCCAGCAGGAACGGTCTTGACATTTCATGTGGCCAGCCTCACTTCCTCTCCATTTTACAGATGAAGGCTCAGAGAGAGGAAGGAAGTGTTAATTTGTCTCCTGCCATCCACTCTCCTTCCAGAGATCTCTCAAAGGGGTGTGGGTTGGGGTAAGGTTAGTAGGCAGAAGTCATGGCATGAGGCCAAGACCTTAGGCCAAGTGGCAAGTAAAAGGGCCAGAGGGCAGAATGGGGTTGAGTCCATGGTCCAATAACTTCAGAATAGTTGTGCTTCTGTCCAAGGAATAGGGCATATTTTAATGGTTTCAAACATGGAAGTTACCAAAATCAATCCAGGGAAGGAACTGGATTAACGGGCTAATGCTCATGGGTGCTGCTCATCCCTGATGATCCAGACCTTCGAGAAAGAAGTGACAGAGCAGCAGAGAATTCCTTCTTAAAACAGCTGAACATGAGTCCTAGAATGGGACTGAGACCACCTAATTCAACTACCACCTAATTCAACCACAGTTGGGCAAAAACTAAGGTCCTAAGAAGATACCATCTCCTTGTAGCATGCCCTCCCACTCTCCCTCTTTTCCCTTTGTCTCTACTCTTCTTGCAGAGGTGGAGTTGAAAGTGGGTGAGGGAAGCTGCTCCTTTGGGGGGCCCCATGCAGGATCAGTCATTTTGAGAGCTATGCTCAGAGAAAGAAGAAGGCATCTTCATTCTGGGGTCTCTGTCTAGCCAGGCTACCAGGAGAGGTAGACTTTTACCACTGATAAGCCAAAAGACAAGTTTTTTTTTTTTTTAAATTAAGTCAACTTTTTGTTTTTTGGGGAGGGTAGGGGGCATGCCATACAGGGTTGGGTACTTGGGGCTTATGTGTCAGAGTCTCTGCTTTTAAGGCCAATTTTCTTTTCTTCTGTATTTATTTCCTTCTCTACCCCCAAGTCTATCCTAAGGGTTTTGGCAGTTAAAGGGACCAAGTATTGGAAAGAGGCCTCCTTGGAGATTAGATCTGAACACCTCTGTCTCTGAAGACTCCAACCAGTTTCATTCACATCATAGTACACTCAGAAAATGCTAACATTTGTACGGTACCGTGGCATCAAGAGGGGAGGCTGCTGGGGCTGGAAACAGGGTATCAACACCTGGGCTCACCTGTAATCTTCTGGGGTTGGGCAGAATGAATAAGTACCCTGCAAACCGTCCCAGTGTCAGCCAGCGCTCCCACTACCATTTTAACTCTGGGAACACAGAGGTATGGTTTTATCTCTTCTGAGTGGCTGAACCCATATTCCCAAAGGTCTTTTGTTCCCAAGGTACAAGGTCTCCCAAGTGGCTCCTTCTTTCAGGTACCTCTTTTCCTAGGAATCTCCTACCCTAATCTCCATCTCCACCATCCGCTGCTTCCCCACACCTACCCCAGCACTAAGCTCCCTGTACAAGTAGACTTTGCTTCCTCTGCACTCCATCAGTGTTTTAGGTCTCTCTCTCTCTCACGGCCATTATCAGTATCTCATGTCCTGTCTTTTTCTCACTTGACTGTGACCTTCTCAAGGGACAAGATCCCAGTCATTCCTGTGTCTTTAGTGCCTAGCCAGATCCTGGCCACAGCAGCCATTAATAAATGTTCACTGAGTTCATGTGAACTGATGTTAGGAGAAGAGGAGCTATTGTTGAGAAAATAATTTCTCCCAGGATGGAATTTAGAGAATGATCAGGCCATTGGTCTGGTGAAGTGTGTGTGTACATGTGTATACATAGGAGTTGAAAGAGATGTGGTAGCCATACCCATGAAACATAGTGGGAAGTTACTTTTTGAAGAAAGAAGGTCTATTCACCCCAGGGAAGG